GCATAGTCTCAGCACCATAGCTTTCTCAGAGAGCTGTGCACCCATGCACTTAAGCAGTCATCTCTCGAAACTGCTGTAGTGCAGAGAAGAAGAGTTCAGTCTCTTGACATTGTTTTTGAAAATATAGATGTAATTCCTTTGTTTTGTGATAAGGATGAACACAGCAATCATGTTCTAAGCCTGATACAAGGCTACCCAATCATTATGCCAAATAAAGGAATATTCCTAGGTGGAATATTATTAAAGCAAACTCCTTAATTAAACTGATAAGAACAGATATGACACTTGATCTTAGCCAAAAGGCCAAGAAGCGATTTCTCACCGTTGCTGGTGCATAGGGGTGGACCAAGCAGTTTACCTAAAAGTTAGGAGTCAAGACCAAAAATTTTGGGGATGAGATTACATTTGGAAAATCGCTGCTTTTTGAATTTTAGGAAGCAAACTATCAGATATTGGCACTTGTTTTAGATTAGTAGTCAAAGATTTTGGAACAACTCTTTATGCTGAAATTACTATGGGAAATACAATGACCTGGTTTTTTTCCAAATTCTTTTAATTTTTTCTCTTAATGTTTGGTACTTTGCCATGTTTGTACTTTATTTCTGAGGCTGTCTGTTGATGGAACTCCAACTATCATATTTTCCATTGTTGCTTATTCAGAAGTATGATTAAAGTCTTACTCTCATCTGTTTTATCCATGATAACTTGTTTGTCCCTGTATAGTATTGCGGTTTTGTTTTCTAAAACTGGAAGTAGCTGGAATTTATAATATGGAGGAAAAGATTTCAGTACCCTTCTCCCTTGAATTCAACAGGTTTGAACACCATGGTTTCGGTTATACATGGATTTTCCCCCATCAATCAATCATTCAATCAATCAATCAATCAATCAATCAGTCAGTCAATCAGTCAATCAATCAATATCAGTACCAAGTTCTGAGTTCCAAACCTGAAGTCTGAGTCCCTATTAAAAACAAGTTTTTACCCCCAGAAAAAAAGGAGGATTGGGCGAGTTCTGAATGGCCTGAGAAAGGTGGGTCTCAGAATTATTAAAGCCCCTCGCAATGGAAGAGGAGTGGTGGCCCCCGGTCCGATAGAGGTGGCCCGGAGGGCTCCCTCCCCTGACATGGGGGTTCTGGTGCTGGGGCACCTGTCAGGTGAGGGGTGTGTGTGTGTGTAAGAAAGAGAGAGGGAGAGGGAGGGAGAGAAGAATCAATTCTTTGTGTTTTGTAGTTACATTTTTGTGGCATAAGAGTTACACATGGATTTTGAACTACATAAGGGTTTGGCACCCCTGACCCCAGCGTCGTTGAAAAGGAGAAGTGTAATCCAAAGTGTAATTCATTAGATTCTGCCAACTTCTGAAAATGTTATGCTTCCACATGTAGTCTGTTGGTGCTAGCATCTCTCTATGATATGATGAATTGTTTCTTTGGATTCATGACAGGCCGTAGATCTATCCCTTCACCTCGTGTCATAAATATTTTCTGATAGTGTCTAGTGCAAATAACTTGGTACTGCATTGCATATACGAATTCCTCCATTTCAGACTGAAAACAGCCTGATTTAAACCATGTATTCAATCGTTGCTTATCAAAGTTATCATCCAGGGGGGAACAGAGGCGTGGTCCATGTAATGATTTATCAAGCCTAACCTCTTTAACAGACTGTGGACTTCACAAACAACATTTTGCTTTTCAGGGGTAGATAGATGATGCCCTCCACAGATGACAAAAATGATTCTTCTGCTAATAAATGTCATCTTCAAAAATGCCAAGTGCTGCAACATCAGTCTGAAACTGATCTCAAGACAGAGCTAGTTAGATTCACTTTCAATTAGATCCGATGATTTAGCACCAATACTCGCTGTTGTCATGTTTGGGGAAAGTTTTTCAACATACAAGGTTTGTCCAGGAGAATGAGAGGATATTAGCTTTCAGTTAATTGGCTTTGTATGAGACACCAGTTGGGTGTGAAGGTTTAATTGAAGGCATGAAAATTCCTGGAAATATTGCAGGTGACTAATCAATCATTCTTTTGCAAACTAGCTGTACCCTGTGGCCAGGATCCAACCTGCCTCAGCCTGGAAAGCTTTCTTTTCTTTTCAACTTCAAAATGCCATTCCCTCCATAGTAGTTTGCCATTATAATTTGTAAAGTAATTCTGTAGTTTTAAAAGAAGTAGTGGTGCTAGTATTTTTCAGCTTTAATAATAATAATAATAATAATAATAATAATAATAATAATAATAATAATGGAGCCCAAGAAAGTAAAATCTGTCACTACTTCCATATCTTCCCCTTCTATTTGCCAGGAGGTGATGGGACCAGTGGCCATGATCTTAGTTTTTTTTATGTTGAGCTTCAGACCGTTTTTTGCACTCTCATCTTTCACTGTCATTAAGAGGTTCTTTAATTCCTCCTCACTTTCTGCCTTCAGAGTGGTATCATCTGTATATTGGAGGTTGTTGATATTTCTTCTGGCAATCTTAATTCCAATCTTTATTTTCAACTCAGTCATCCCCTGAAATTGCCAATGTCAATGATCTGGACATGTCTTTGTTCTATTACTAATATGTCTGGTGTTTTACGTTCAAGGTGTGTATCAGTTTGGATCTGGAAATCCCACAAGATCTTGACTTCCTCATTTTCTGGCACCTTCTCTACCTGACGTTCCCATGGGTTTTTGGAGACTGGAAAGTTATATTTTTTGCATAGTGACCAGTGCACTAATTTTGCCATTCTAACTTTATAATCTGTTTGTGCAGTGTCTGGACATTCACAGATTAGTTGTGACACAGCTTCATCTTTTTCTTGATAGAGTTGACATTTGCTGTTAGCACCAATTCCTTGGATCTTAGCTTTAATCACAGTGCTTGTTCTTGTGCAGCAAAAATTAAGCTTTTGGTTTCTTTCTTAAGGGTCCCCAGTTTCAGCCATGCCCATGTAGAGTTATGATTATTCTCTCCATCAATATTTCTCAGGTGTTGGCCATGTAGTGGTCTATTTTTCCAGCTGTTTAATTTCTTTTCAAATTGTAGTTTCTTATATTGAGCCTTTGTTTCTATTGTTTTCAAAATATTCTCCATTTTCACTGCCTGGAGTAATTTGCCTCTGCTTATATCAATAACTTTTCATAATTTATCATTTTTTTGTGAGAGTCCAAGTTTTGCATTTACGTTGTTCCAGTAGCTTTGCAACAGCTAGTC